GTATTACACCTGAATGGAGTAAACCAGGAGAAGGCAACGTCGTTCCAAGTGGGAGGCGCCCGATCAGCAACCAATAGAAACAGCCGCCACCCACGAAGCTATAAAAATTAATTTATCACATGGATCGCCGCCTACGCCATTGCTCCGTTCGCAGAATCCTTATTGCGCAGCATTCCGCCAGATAGCGCTATTTGTCGGGTCTTCCCCCAATTAGATCCGTTTGAATTTCCCTCCTTTTTTTTCTGCGCGCACGCACTCTATTTGAGCGGATATTTTAAAAACGCGTCGAACTCGAAGGATACTTACGATTAGGATGGTATTATAACCTATAGAGGAAAAAAGACACATATTGCGTCCAGTTCAAAATCTCTGATGCAAATTAAAAGTCATCCATCTCTAACGTTCATTCATGATAATAAAATATAATAAAATTTGAAAAATACACTTATTTCGCAGAATGAAAGGAATATAGAAATATAGAATATAGGAGAAAGCTTAGGATCTAATTTAAAAGATGCAGTCACAAAAGTGCCTTTTCATTAGCTTCTTTTTTTTTTTCTTTCAAATGAAAATTTGGTCAATGTACGGACATTAACGTTATGTAGCGATAAAATGAACTAATCAGCGGCAGAAACTACTGTCATCTATTGGATATCGCTTTCTTGTTTGAAACAAGTACAAAAATGTAAAACACTTTAAGTGTTCTTTTTGTGATCAATTTGCGCTTTACATATATTTCAAAGTAGAATTTTTTTAATCCAAGTTTAACACGCAGCTACGAGAAATTAAATATTATTTGAATGGGTCATAAACGTCATGCATTGATCAACCAAGATCATAGATAAAATATATATTTTCATATACCTTTCGTCTGTGATTGTATCCTATTTTTAGTCAATGATAAAAGATTGATTTATAGACATTAATACTGTTTCCATCTAGCAGCGGAACATTAGAACTAATTATCGATAAAACAGCTCCCAATGATGTACTACCATCTGAAACTACAAAAATGACATCATTCAGTAGATGGCACAACCTGTCTCAGTTTCTTTTTTATCGACGTTTAATTTCACTATTTCGCCGTTATGTGACGCTAGTATTTTAATACCTAAATCGATCAAATTTTCACTTACAAAAAAGATTAATTAAAAAAATTAACTTATAAATTTTTGTAATTGCATCTTCCCATTAGATCCTAATAGAAATTTTTTAATCCTATTTAACACATCGAAACTCTCGGTCTAATAACATTTACTTTTTCACAAGTTACATTCGAAATGTGAATTAAAATAGTTCGTAAACATAATTGAAAATGTATACGATAATGTCATATATAATTTTTAGTATAAATTTATATCTGATTGATTACAGAACGACTTATAAATTCTTACGAAGAATATGATTTACATACATATGTTATTTACATTTCTCGTCCAAAAGATTGTTCCAAAATTGTTCAAACAATTAGAATAAGGTATATTATAATTATGATGTACTTTTAAATTGCGATCGTATCGTTATACTCGATGAATGTTAATCAAAATCAAGTTAAACTTGACCAGAGATTGAACTTATCGATTGTTCATTAGACTATGATGGTAATCAGCAGCAACTTCACGATGGTGTGTTGTGGAAGAAATGGCGGATTGTTTTTAGACGGGGGGAGTTGTAAAAATTTGAGCGTGAGACATGTGGGTGTTGTGACGATTCACGAGCAAGTAGTCAATTAAACACTTCTTTCGGTATGAGTGACCACTTTTGGGAACCTTTAGCCGAAGTATATATCACAGAACAAGCAGAATCTTCTGACCCTGATCATTACATTTATTGTCTTTGTAGCAGAGTATTTATTCGGTAAATACATCTGCAACAACACTCATTTATACCATCGGACGTCGCAATTTCCCATATTCCCGTACCTTTACCGTTTTTATTCATTTTTTCGAAGCTTAAGAATGGTACTCGTTTATCGATCAGTGGTGTGACACATGACCTAACCTTGACACCCACTTGAGTGTGAGTTAGGTCACATAGTGTATTTTTTTTGAAAACTGAAGTTAAAAATTAATTTTCTTTATTATACAGTAGGAATGTGATAACCTAACCGCTTTTTTCTTAAAACGTAGAATAGTACAAAAGTTAACAATCGTTGAAAATATTCCTTTGTCCTTTCATTTAGTTCAGCGAAATATCGAAAATAAACACCTTGTATACCACGTGGATATTATTATTAATTTCTAATTACAAAGAATTGAAATATTGTATTATGTCGAACGTGTGATTTTTCTACAATAATTTTTTGTTTATTTTTAGGAACCCAGAAGTTTATACTGTCCTTGCTCTAGAGGATGCCAGTGAAGATGAAAATGTCGAGCGTGACTGTGTTGGAGAAATGTTAGATCTTCATAAAAGGTCCATTATAGAAGCACAATCCATTGAGAAACACGATGTAAGATTGTTTCCTTGTCTTCTATTGGTTATTTTCAGTTAATGTGGTAACATTGGTGTATGTATTAGATCTCTATAAATAATATTTGAACAAAAGCATATCTTTCCTTCCTTAAAATTAGGAAGAACCAGTGAGCTGTTACTGCAGTGCATCACACACAGACAACAATTATTCCACAGATGAACATGACTCTGTTCGTGATTCGGCTCATCGTCCTACTGCACATTCCCTCACGCAGAAGTTGGGCCTACACCAGTCGGATTCAGGTGCAGACCTGTCAGAATATCATGATCAACATGAGGCTAAAAGTATACAAAACCTATTGGCATCTTATGACTTTCCAAAGACTTTCCAAACAACAGAGACTGAACTGGAAGATGAATTTGACAAAGTGAATGTACTTGAACAGCACCAAGAAAATAAAAATATAGAATTTGAATCTAAAATAATAGACATTCACTCATCAGATCATCTTACAGATAGCACTGAAGTTTTAAGTTATGATCCATCCATTTGTAATAAAAAGAAATTTCATGTAGAAAATCCATTATGTATTTTAGAAGATAAAGATTTTGAGATACATAATATATTTAAAAATGTTTCCTTAAGTGATAAACAAACTTATAGGGAAGATGTCACACTTAGGCACAATTGTGACTATAGCTCCAGTGATTATCCATATTATTCTATGTATTGTAAAACTAAGAGCATAATGGATATATCATGGGATAGATATTGGTCGGAAAACGGTGAACGTATAATTTGGACAAGTTGGATCAAAAAATACGCAGATTATATAAATCCGGAATATTTGCAACAAAATGTTTATTTAATAGGGAATGAGAAATTGAAAATGAAAGAAACTATTGAAAAATTTTCAGAGCAAAATACATGTTTTCCTAGTCAAGCGCACAGAAATTGTGAACTTGATCGCTCAAATTTTGAAGGAATATTTAGTAAAAGTAATAATGCTAGCGATAATGAAATAAAAGAAAAAGACACATGTAGTATTAATTTTTCATTTGATGACATAAGCAAACAGGAAATAAGCGAAAAAGATGCGGAAGATAATAGGAAAAAATTCACAAATTTTGAAGCTTCACCTGAAACTGGAGATGGTTGGAATCCATTGAGTCCTTTTAGTATGGAAGAAAGTTATAATCAACAATCTAATGCAGAAGATGAAAGACTTTTAATAAGGTGCGATTCTATCAACGAGTCAATAGCAAAAACAAATGCAACATCAGATTCTATGACAAATGTCACAAAAATGACCCTTACTAGTTCTAGTTGTGACTCTATTTCTACAAATTCATCTAGTCTCATCAGTTCTGTAACTAGTTCTATCGAAAGCAATATAACAAACACCAGTTCTGATCAAGATAATGATCAAGAATATACTCCAGAAGATACTGATAAATATTGGCAGCATTTATGGAAAGAAAATTTCCAAATAGAATATCAGGATCATTATAAACTATTTGTAGAGAAATATAAAAGGGAGCAATCTGAAATTATTAATCAAAATTGTAGCCAGGAACATAACGATATAGATATGCAAGAGGAAGGAAGTGATGAAAGTATAGACCAAGATTTTACACAAAGGGAAATAGACATGTGTAATAAAATGAATACTTCTGAAAGTAAAAATGTATCTAATAAAAATTTTTCTTATTCTAAAAAAGACAAAACGAAAAAGAAACGATTGATTATGGAATCAGTGGGAATGCTTATCCAAAATTTAACAATGAATTCAGAGGACAATGAAACTGCTGCAGATAAAGATGAAAAAACTAATGAAATGGAATGTTCAAAAGAAGTTGAATGTAATGATCAGAATCTAGCTACACAAAGTGGAAATGCAATTATTTCCAATACTAGTGGTAACAATAATATTCAACGAAAATATTCTGATGGTAGAGATGGAGATGAACCCAATGAAGATAAACCTATAACATTAAAACGAAGGTATAATAGATAACATATTATATATAATATATCATCTATTAAAAATGCTATTTACGTATATTTTATTTCAGTCACGAGGCTGATTACGATGATACAGAAGAAGGACTGGAATCAGTAAAAAAAGCATTTTCATTGATGGGATATACTTTCAATGAAAATTACGAACAATCAAATTTCCAAGGAGAAGTAGTATACAGAAAAAAGAATATTAGATTACAAAATAGACAATTAAAAATGAAATATTATAGACCCAAGCCCGCAAATAAACATATATACTTTGATGATAATGGAGTGGAAATTACTAATACTATAGACAAAGTAAATAATATATTTTTTAAATAAAACAGAGATATATAGTTATTTTATTTTTTGCTTTTTGTTTTACAGGTAAAACATTACTTATCATATTGTCCTGTATTACCATCAGTGAAAACAGAATTACAAGCCTCTGAAAAAGGTTCCTACTCAGCACAATTGACTTCAAGTTCTGATGACGAATGTGATCGTAGCCTTAAAACAAAATTACAAACAAAGCGATTTGTATTTAGTAAACCAAGCACAAGTTCAATAGATTCAGGAGCAGATAAAAAACAATTTAATGATATTCACGATACTGTAAATGTATTTGATAATCAGGACGACGTTTTCCAAAATGTCGAAAATGATAATATATATTTTGATCAATATAAAACGAGTGATACCACAAAATGTGTATCAGAAGATCAACTTCCTGAACACGTACAAGATAACAAGAAGTTCGATTCATTAAATGTCAATATGGATGTAGATGAAAACTATAGTAACAACGAAATACAAAATGTGAAATTATCAGACGAAGACAGCATAAAAAAGACGCAAAAAAAGAAACGAAGGAAGCAATCTAAAAAAAATATAAGCCTTCCAGTAGAAATAGACAATGATAAAACTTTAATGAAATATTGGTTAAAAAGATATCGCTTATTTAGCAAGTTTGATCAAGGCATTAAATTAGATCGTGGTATGTTTTTTGATAATATTTATACAACAATAATTTATGATTTTTAAAAGACTAAGAGTAAAATATCTTATATAAATCATTCAATAATGTATTTGCCAGTTCTTAATTTTTATAATGAAATATTTTTTTTATAGAGAGTTGGTTTTCTGTGACACCAGAAAAAATTGCCGAACATATAGCCCAAAGATGCAAATGTGATACTATAATCGATGCATTTTGTGGTGCAGGAGGGAATGCTATTCAATTTGCTTTTACATGTGAAAAAGGTGTGTTCACTGTATATAAATTAGTATAAAAATTTAATTATTTTCATTTTTACAGTTCTCGCAATAGATATAGATCCGGTTAAAATTGAACTTGCTCGAAATAATGCTCGAGTCTATGGTGTTGATGACAGAATAGAATTCATTGTTGGAGACTTCCTTCAACTCGCATCAAAATTAATCGCAGATGTTGTGTTTCTAAGTCCTCCATGGGGAGGGCCTGAATATGCCAAGAATGAAACTTTTGATCTCAATAACATTATGCAACCCATTGGTGGAGTAAAATTATTTAATATAGCAAGAAAAATCACAGATCATGTGGCCTACTTTCTACCTAGAAATGTAGATACTATGCAGGTATATTTTTATAATTCAAGATTTAAAAAATTTGAATATTCTATGTTATTTTATAATACATTATGCATCAATTGCTTTATATTTTTATATAAATTTACAGCTTGCCATATTAGCTGGAGTAGGTGGTGGTGTAGAAGTGGAACAGAACTTTCTCGATAGAAAGTTAATAGCTTTAACAGCTTATTATGGCGAACTGCCCAGGGACTGTTAGTTGTGATATGATGTGTAATTTATGAGAAGATCCACATCAGTTGCTTAAAAAAAGGAACTTCTCACATTTTATGAATAATTAGCTGTAAATAATAATCCGTATCAATTTGCTTAGGTTATCCTGAAAAGCATTATTAAGCAATATTTTTTATTTCATTTCACGGTTTTTTACATAAAAGACAACTTTGTCTCTATAACTATAATTTACTGATATATTTTAAAACTTCCTATTAAACTTTTTTAAAATAATATGTCCATCAGTTACTATTTTCATAAATCTCACACTTAAGCAAATTGATACCGAAATTTCAATTTGTGGGGACATATTTGTGAAGTTCAATAATTAATATGTGAAATCTCTTAAAAAGATTTTAAATTCAATCTTCCATAGCAATAAGTATTATTTTTACCTGATGAATAATTAAGTCAAAAACATTAGAACATTTCTCTTTAGTTCATCATGTAAAATATTATTTTAATCATATTGTAATCCATATGAGATATTGTAATTTACATTTTACAACGGTTTCCAGATTATTATTTTACAATTTTTATGTACACTTCTACTAATTTCTTATTAATTATCAATAAATACATTCAAAATCTTAAATGTTTTTTCATATATAATAAATTATATCCTTAGTAAAATTTAAAATAAAAATATCTCAAAATTTCTTTTAACTATAAAATCTTTTTTTTCGAATAAAATAAAATTTTTGAACAAATACGAACATAGAATCCATTAATTAATTAATTAAATATCCATTACTTTCTTCAAAATGATGTACAAAATTTTTTCAAACAAGAACATTTGTTTTTCGTTAAATTTGTTTTTGCTGATATAATATACAATTCCAAAAATAGTATCACAATTAGGATTTTAAAAATTAATATATTAATTCTAGTGTTCTGTTAAACAAGTTAATTCATAGTTTCTAAGTAACGCGTGACTAGCATTTCTTCATTTAGTTTTAAAGTATAAATTTCTAATTGTTTTCAAGTATAGAAATATTTCAATTAGCAACTTAACGTTCTATATTTCACGTATCAACATTAATAGTTGTTGCCCCTGATTCCTCAGGTTCAGCAGGTATAGTTATACCACCAGTATCTATACTTTCTTCTTCTTCCCTTGGAATTTTTAAAAAACAATGCATTGTTTCTTCATCTTCTTGTTCAATTGATGAGTTATTTTTAGTTCTATTTTCTCTTGTTGGCAGTGAACCTTCAAGATGTTTCGATGGTATCTGTATCGTTATAGTTTGTGATGTACCGTCTGCAGACGTTGAGGAAGACATCAAATTTGCTTCTAAAGTATCGCCTACTTTTGAAAAGGCACCTAAGCAACTATAAATTAATTGTGCCGCTGCAATGTTACCAGGAAAAACTTCAACATTTTCGCTATCTGTAAAAAGTATACAATTTTATATTTTAACAATTATACATTTTAACAAAAAATTGAAACATACCTTTCTTTTGCATATTTGCTTTGATCAATCCCTTTTCATGGTCTCTTACGTGTTGTATATAACTTTGATTTTTAACAGTTTTAAAAGGGCATAGGTCACACGTAAATAAACCAGACAATAAAGGATGTCTAGATTTTAAATGATTTTTATAACTACTACTTTGTATTGCAGTGTAAGAACAGTGAGGGCATTTATAAGGTCTAAACCCTGAAAATATTGTTTACATATGTAATTTTTAAATACATTCTTGTATTATATTAGACTTTTTATTCATGCATACCTGTATGTTGCATAATGTGACGTCGTAATGTATTGTGATCTCCAGTTTTATACTCGCAAAGTTCACAACTAAAGGGTTTATCACCAGTATGTTGTCGTAAATGCATTTGTAACATTGCTTTTCTAGCACTAGAATGTCCACAAACATTACAAACATATGGTCGTAATTTTGAATGCACTGCTTGAATATGACTTTTTAAACATTTGGAATTTGCATAAGTTTTTCCACACATATCACATTTTTTTGAAGTATACCACCGCGTCACTTCCAATGTTTTACGGTCTAAATGCATCACTCTATGATTACGCAACTGACTGGCTTGTTTAAAACATTTACCACATTCTGAACATTCATACTCGCGAGTCTCACTATGCACACGCATATGAGTTAAAAGTTTCACCATTGTTGCACTTTTATATGCTTTACATATTTTACAAGTAAATAATCCTATATCTTTAAAAAAGTGTTTAAAAATGCGTTTTAATATTTTACTGTATAAACTGATATTATATATTTACCAATTTGATGCTTTTTCCATAAATGTAAGCTACACTGTCTCCATTTGGTAAATTTCGTATCACGGCAAACAGTACATTTAAATGCCATTCCATTTTGTGATTCTGTATGACAAAGTGCATGTTGCTGCATTGTTTCCTCTGTAGAAAATTTGTAGGGGCATCCTCGATATGAACACCTAACAAAATGTACAATTTAATGAGTAAGTAAAATATATATTTTTAAAAGTTTAATAACCCACATACTTTATGTTTCTTTCCATTAATTCAATCATTTTTTTATTGAGCATATATTCAGAATTCAAAGGTTTTTGAATCTTAATTTGACGTTTTACATCATTATTTTCAATACTTTGTCCTATACACTCTAATAATCCAGAGTCTTTTGAATCATCAGTTATATTTTCTTTACCACCTTTATTGGCTCCTGTGTCTGTTAATTGATGATCCTACAATAAAAAGTATTAATATAATATCTTTAATCGTAATGGCTCAATTTTTTACAACAGACCCAGCAATTACATTTATCATATGTTCTTTACAATCTTCAATAGAAGGAAAGCAACTAGAACATTCTCCACACATGTATAACAATTTTACTTCATCATTCTTAAACTCTTCTTTTATCTGGAAAATACATTGTCAACATAAATATCATTAGAGAAATAATTGATTTTGTAACTCACCTCTATATCTACTTTAGGATTTACATGTGTTTTCTGAAAATGCTGCAATAATTGTGTCTTATCTTGCGTAGTATAAGTACATATTTTACATTTGAATGCTGTTACAACTTCTACAAAATCATTAGCATTTACATTATGCTTTTCTACTATAAAATTCTTTTCATTTTGATCAGTGATAATTTCATATTGTTCTTGAGAATGTTGATCAATATTTCCAATTACTAATCCTTCATTAGTAATATATTGCGGTTCACAATTATCATCTTCTTTAGACAGCAGCACTGTTTTTTCTTGTGAATCATTTTCATCTGTTACTTGACTAAAATCTAATTCTTGTAATTCTCCATTTTGAAATGCATAAACCTGACCATCTAAACAAATTAAAGAAATTGATTCATCCTCTTTTTCTACATGTGATTCATCTATAATATTAATTGTATTTTGTTCTTGATTAGTTGATGCAGTTTTTGTTATATCTATAGTTGGATCTGATATAGTTTGTAAAATATATCTAGTGCCATTTATTTCGTAGCTTAAATATGAAGAATCTTCAATACTTCTTTCCTCATTCATGGTGATGATATTTAATTAAATCATACTGTTATAAAATGCTTGACATTTAAATTAATAGTAACATTTTTCCTGTAATATAAATACATATAAATATTAACATTTGTAGATAAAAAAGTAAATATCTGTTTATACTTATTACACAAAAACCTTGAACATAATTTATAAAATAAAATTTAACCAATATATATAACTAATACACTATAAATAATACACTGATACTCTTGCACATAAAACGTCAAAATACATTAAATTAAAAAACGCAATAAAATAAAAAGTACAGTTTATTCAGTAACATAAAATTCAACTTGTTTACTTGAACTGTACATTACCTTTTTAATATAAAATTTTATAAACTACACTAAACGTAAGTGCCATTATATTTAAAGTATAAATGAATTATTTACAATTATATTATGAAGTGCCGATATTTGTATAAATTAGAGAAGAGGTTATCTTAAGGTCGATTCGTAACATGACTTAAAAATGTAATTTTTCTAGCAACAATTGAACTCAAGCTGTTATATTTTATTGACGTAAAATAAAAACTTTTACAAATTGTCATCTCTTCGTAATTAAGCACATTCACAGCTGTTCAAATTCGAAAATCATGTTACGCGAAAGTAACTCGCGCGAACTATGCGTCAGGTTTCAAATGAGATTTCAAATGGCACTTAAAGACTTCAAGCGGAAATGTTTAATATATACAAAAGGAAAGAATATTACTTACGAATAAAGAATTTAAGTCAAGTGATGAACAAGAATACTGAAAAAATGACATAAACGTCAAATTTTAATACATTATCCATGAGATTCGTGATATTCCACCATTTTGCATCACGTGATACCGCGAAATTTAGCATATAGTATATTTGCGAAGGATATTTGATTTAACAATAACTAAAAAATCATTTTTTCCTTTTTCTACTTTTATTTTATTGCGCTTTATAAAATAATACAGTCTTAAAAATATACATGCATTTTTTATTATGCTATATTTTATATTTAACAATTCATTTATATTAATACTCGTAATTGGATTCTATTCAAATATCTATATCTATATACATATATTCTAAAATAAAAACCAATTTACATTTTATATTTCTTTCGCTGGATATACGGTAGGAGTTCTTTCAGCATTTTGCCTAGCAATTTCAGGAAAGAATTGTGAATTATATTTTTGTTTGATAGTAGATTTTGAAGGAGTTTCTGGAGCTACCGTTGGAACTGGATCTCCTCTCAATTTAGCTAATAAAGCTTCTGTCCTTAATTTTTCACTTTGTTCTCTTAACAATCTCTCTGTTCTCAATTTTTCTATATTTACACTTGGTATTTCCATATTTTTTCTTTCTTTACTTTTATGGCGCTCTCTTTTATGTTTTTTAGATTTCTTGTGTTTGTGTTTTTTCAAAAATCTTTTATAATCTGAATCACTTTCATCCAAATCATCTTCTTTTCTTTTAATAGATTCTATTTTAATTTCTGAAGATTTTTCTATGGAACTAGATCCCATCATATTTAAATACTTTTTTATATCTTGAATGGGATCATTTAATATTTTCTTTTTAGCTTGTACTTCTACATCCTTTTCTATGTCTCTAAATCTTTCAGGTAATTCTTCATACCAACTTTTCTTACCTGTTGCTTCATTAGTGTCTTGTCCAAGATATGAAAGATAGCCAATCTGCTTCTCATATTTTTCTTTTTCTTCTTTCTTCTCTTTTTCATGTTCTGAATTAGGTTTATTATAATCAAGTTTTCCTTGTTCAAGTTCAGCAAAAAAATTTACATGATCCCATTTCGAAGAACTGACATCTGCTTCACTTTTTAATACTTCTGTTCGTCCATCATATTTTGATCTGGCTTTTTCTCTCAAAAGATTAATTCTTGCTTCAGTTTCCTAAAGAAATAAATATTAAAAATTTATTGTTTATTTAAATAAATAATAAATTATTAAATAATCAGTGATTAATTTTTTTAATCTTATTCATATATATACCGCTTTTTGAATTCGTTCTTGTCTAAGTTTTTCTTCTTCTGCAGCTTTTGCTTCATCCCGTCGTACACGTGCTATATTTTCCTTAGTACGTACATGCCACCTAAAAAAATTAATTATAATTATATTTTCACATTTTCATTAATCTATATATAATAAGTAATAATATACAATAAATACAAATTAATGTATAAATTAATGATATATAAATACAAATATTATTAACAATATATAAATTATTTTCAATTATACCTTTTCTTCGGTAAAATATTCATTTTTGTAATTCCAATGAGAGACACAAATCTTTTATTAAAAATAAATCATATGTTCTTATAACACTATTTCTTCTTAATTTTGTTGATAAATTCTTTTAATATTGTGTAAAATGTATATAAATTTACATAAATAATTAAAAATTTATTGCTTATTTAAACTTATTTTTTGACTCGAAAAATTACAATAGACGTTTTGACAA